CTACCTTCGATTCGATCCCGGTTAAGGTACTTTAGCTTGAATCTTCTCCAAATGGCTTAACTATGATTGATAGATAATTTTAAAATGTGAAATTGATGCTTGAGTGAAACTTGAATTATGGGGAATTTTACGAGCTTGGAACGATCGATTTTTCGATCTCTTAATGTACAAGGGATAAAATGATAATTTAAATTTGGTAAATCATAATAAATTGTCATGAGGCTTAGGTGCGAATTTGATAAGATTTGGAGTTCGTTTTATAGGCGAACCGATTTTATGTGTATTTGACCAATTGTAGCGATTACTAGTTATAGGAGTTGAACTTGGACTTGACTTGTTGACCGTGGACCATACATATATTGGGGATGTTATGTTTCGATTTGCGTAAATTTTGGATGTTGTTTGACGTAGTTATAAAAATCGGGACTTTAGACGTTAATGCGGTAAAAATAAAATACTCGTTTGATTGAGATTTTAGCTGCACTTGTGGATTACAGATTTATTATAAATCACATAGAATATATATATTAATTATTGGCCTTAAATGAGTTAGGAATTAAGAGAATCGAACCCTAGTTTTATCTGGTTCCGATAACCGGGTATTTTTCTGGATCCGATTATAATTGTCTGAACCCTAGTACCGTCTAGATAATCTTTAACCGTCGTATCGTAATTCGTAATGTGTATCGTCGTCTCGTGCCCGTGATCGCCTCTCGTCCAACTGTTGGAGCTGAGCCGCCGAGTGCGTGCCCATGCACCGAGTCCGAGTCAAACCCCCGAGTGCGTGCCCGTGCAACGAGTCCATCCGACTTGCCGTCTACGCGTCGTTCCATTAGCCGTGGTCCAAGCACGCCCCTGCGTCAGTGACCGTGGCACCGTTTTAAACTCGTGCATCGGCTAAGCCGTGTCAGTCGAGTTCGCGTCGGCCAGAGTTGCCCCGCCGAACTCGAACCACGGTCGAACCGAGCTGCACATAGTCAAGCGGATGATCGACCGGCTCCGAGTGAGCCGTCGGTCAAGTTCATTCGAACCGGTCCGGTCAGTCCGGACTGTTCGAAATATATTTCAGATAGAATGTCAGATAAATTTCAGATGCAGTAATATTAAGATTTTAGATATATTTAGGATTTCAAATGTAACTAATATTTCAGATAAAGTTAAGATTCCAGATAGACATTAAGATTCAGATATAGATTAGATTTCAGTCAGATTTTAGTCCAGACTTAGAAATATTTCAGAGAACTCTAGAATGCCTCAACGACGATAATATTTTCAAAATCAGCTCGTAAATCCCTAAAATGATTTTTTTAAAGTAGAGTGAGCGAACCTAGACAATAGATATTAAAGATTTGAGTTTTATTCTGAGCCTAGTACTTAGAATATTTCGCTCATAATTTGTAGCTTGAGGAGAGTCGAGCCTCCGCCTGCTACACAGCATATTTCAGATATTTCAGCATCCGCATTCGCCGTTTTCCAGGTGGGGACCACGTACTGTGTATTTCATCGCTTTTAATAATTTACCATGTCTGAGATCTATATGCGATTAAATTGAAGGACTGGGTCGGATGAGTGATCCCGTCTTGGTCAATATTTCAGTATTTCAGTTATGACTTGGATGTGTGTGATTAGGGCCCGTCCTAAATCTAGAGTCCAGATGGGATGATTAGTGCCTTTCCTGGATTTCTGTGGGAGAGGACTCCCAGAGTGTGCACATGAGTACTGCTTTACCGTTAGTCCGATAGTCAGACCAGTGAGGAAATAGTTATTTTCACCCCGTTCTGAAGTCACACTAAGTTTTTCACACCAC